ATTGTTCGGTGATCCGAACACGACTTCTAGTAATAGGGAGCCTGTGCACTTGGCATAAGGGCCTGGCGTCACTCCTTTGAAGGAAGTGCGGCTGTGTCGAATTTTGGTAGGGTCTATCCCCATCTTACGGATTGTGTTTGAATACAACAGGTTTAAGTCGCTGCCTCCGTCCATTAGGACTTTAGTAAATTGTAGTCCGTCGATTATGGGATTCAATATCAGGGGAGTCCGTCCCGCGTTTCGAACGCTTCTGGAATAGTCCAGGTGGTCGAAAGTGATTGGTTTTGATATCCAATCTCTATGGTCTGCTGGGTTGGACCGCGCGAAGCTCTTTTTAAAAAGTGCCGCACTATTTTTCCGTATTATCACATGAAGTGAATTTACTGCTTTGACCTCTTATGGGAAAGTCTTTTGTTTTCCGGTGCTCTGCTGGTGGGGTTTATCGTCTTCGCTTGACCCGTCGAGCCCCTTGTGTTCGGCGTTTAGTCGGCCGGACTGTTTAAAAACCCAACAATCCCGATGGGTGTGGTTTCCAGGCCTTCCGGGGGTGCTGTGGATTTGACATATCCGACCCAAAATCTTGTTTAAGTTGGACAGCTCATCGCTGTCATCCTTAAGAGGCGATGTTTTGTTGTTTGGTCGCGAGCTTTTGAATCCGGCGTTGATTGCCGTGCTCTTTGGGCTTTTCTCTTTATTCCGGCGCTGCTCTTTTCTGCGCCGTGATTTTCCGTTTCCATCTCTTATCTCGGATGTACTTGGGTCGCTGGTGCTGCATCTTGCTAGCCAGCTATCCTCTCCCGCATAGAAGCGTGTCATGAGGCTTGTTAGCGCGGACATTGTCCTTGGTTTCTCTTGGCCGAGGTGTCTGGCAAGCCATTCGTCTCGGACATTGTGTTTAAAAGCTGCTAAGGCTTCGACGTCCGGATAGTCTACTATTTGGTTCTTTTTGGTGAGGAACCTGTTCCAGAATTTGCGCGCTGACTCTCCGGGCTGTTGAGTTATATGTCTTAAATCATCTACATCCGGAGGGCGGACATAGGTCCCTTGAAAATTTGCTCTAAACGCTTCCTCGAGCTCTTCCCAACTTCCCATAGTGTTTTCTGGGAGGCTTTTAAGCCAATGACGGGCTGGCCCTTTGAGCTTGAGGGGTAGGTATTTTATGGCGTGGAGATCATCTCCTCTGGCCATGTGTATATGTAGTATGTAATCTTCTATCCAGACTCCAGGGTCTGTTGTTCCATCGTAGGCCTCTATGTTTATGGGTTTAAATCCTGCTGGGAATTCATGGTCCAACACCTCATCGGTGAAACATAGTGGGTGTGCGGCGCCCCTGTATTTGGGTGTGCCATTATCTTCGGACACTTGACGTGTTGCCTTGCTTCCTAGGGCCTTCTTCTTTGGCCCGTAGATGGACCTGGCTGGGCCATCTGTCTTTCCAGGTTCATTAGTTGGTTTATGTGCGGCGCCGCTTTCAGAATTTGGCCTATCATCTGGCCGTCTATCCAACCAGGCAGCCTCTTTATTTTTTTGACGGTGGAGGCTCTATGGCCTCCTCGTCGAATTCTGGTAGCAGCTTGCGCTTCGGGTAGCTCTTTGATTGGTGACAATTGCCGTATTTATCCGCGGTTTTGAGCACTTTGCTTCATCTCATTCTGAGTGTGTCTTCCGCTGTTTTGAGCTTCCGCTTTTCCTTCTTCAGGCTTCTTGCAGTGTTGATGAGTCTTTTCCGAAGGTTTTTCCTCTTCGGTGGCGTGTCCGGCATGAGATCGTCCGGCCTGTCGTTTTCGCCGGGCCTGGACTGATTATCTGACTCGTCGTGTTCGGACGGTTGCTTATCTGCATGTTCGTCATCCACTTGTGAGCCCTGCTGTATTACGGGCTCCTTAGGAGCGTTGTTGTTGTCGAGGCGGGACTTAGGGCGGCGTCTGCGCCGCCGTTTTGGTTGTTTATCGGCGGGGTTATCTTCTGCCGCGGCCCGTTGGTCCTCGTTATCGCTCTCTTTTGGGGTATCCACCATGTATATGTCATATGAAGAGGTGGTCCTCCCGTGCCCTATAGGCGTTGTTTCTTGTTCGTCTCCGTCATCGTCGTCTATACCGTCGATGTCTTCGGAGTCGTAGTCTAGCATGTCGGTTAGATCGTCGACAGTGGCTACAAAGTGGGTGGTGAGTGGGTTCTGAATTTCTTCGTCGTCCGTACCCCAACCATCCTGGCCATAGTCTGGCCAGGACTCTCCCGATAACGAGAGATGCTTTAGCGAATTTAGGATGTCGCCAAAGGGCGAGTGTTGGAAGATGTCCGCGGCGGTGAATTCCATAACCGGCGCCCAATCCGAGTCGATTGGTAGGGGCGCGGGGGGTTCGGAGTCCGGCAAGGAGTCCGAAACCTCGGAATCACGAGTTTCGCGGGGGACAAGATTAGCGTTTGGCTCCATCGCCGTGGAAGTTGAAGCCCCCAAGGCGGTGTCCATCCACCGATCCTCGGTCTGGGCGATTGGCTCCGGACTAATGGCCGAAGCGGATTCGTGTGCGGCCACTAAGGCACTGTCCGGCGGCAGAGCTAGATCATGCCCATCGTAACAGTGCGGCTCGCCTGGTTGTGGCTCGAGCCCGTCGAAGATCAAGTCTCTGCGGACGTTGGCCGTGAAGTTTAGACTTCCGAATCTGACCTGACGGCCAGGGGCGTAGCTTTCGATCTGCTCCAGATGGCCAAGCGAATTAGCCCGCAGTGCGAAGCCGCCGAATACGAAGATCTGTCCGGGGAGAAAAGTCTCCCCCTGGACAGCGTTGTTGGTTGAAGATGCCACCGGGCCTATCGGTGACGGCACAGAGGAACTCTCAATGAAAGCACCAATGTCGGTGTCAAAACCGGCGGATCTCGGGTAGGGGGTCCCGAACTGTGCGTCTAGGTGGATGGTAACAGGAGACGAGGGACGCGATGTTTTACCCAGGTTCGGGCCCTCTCGATGGAGGTAAAACCCTACGTCATGCTTGATTAATATTGATGATATGGGTAGTACAAGAGTGGATCTACCACGAGATCAAGGAGGCTAAACCCTAAAGCTAGCCTATGGTATGATTGTTGTAATGTATGTTGTCCTACAGACTAAAGCCCTCCGGTTTATATAGACACCGGAGGAGGCTAGGGTTACACAGAGTCGGTTACAATGGTAGGAGATCTACATATTCGTATTGCCAAGCTTGCCTTCCACGCCAAGGAAAGTCCCATCCGGACACGGGACGGAGTCTTCAATCTTGTATCTTCGTAGTCTTGGAGTCCGGCGGACGATGATAGTCCGGCTGTCCGGACACCCCCTGGTCCAGGACTCCCTCAACGGGCGTGCCTCTTTCAGAAAGGAAAAAAAACGCATTTTCTGTTTTTTTTTTCTTTCGCGAGAGCCACGGTTTTGCTTCAGCGAGAGACACGGTTGTGCTTTCGCGAGAGGCACAGGCGTGCCTCTTTTGAAAAGGGAAAAAACGCGTTTTCAGTTTTTTTTTCTTTCGCGAGAGGCACAGTTTTGCTTTCAAGAGAGGCACGGTTGTGCTTTGGCGAGAGGCATGGCCGTGCCTCTTTCGGAAAGGAAAAAATGCGTTTTCTGTTTTTTTTCTTTCGCGAGAGGCACGGTTTTTGTTTCCGCGAAAGGCATGGTTGTGCTTTCGTGAGAGGCACGGGATGCCTCTTTCGAAAAGGAAAAAAACGTGTTTTTTTTTCTTTCGCGAGAGGCACGATTTTGCTTCCGCGAGAGGCACGGTTGTGATTTCGTCAGAGGCACGGGCGTGCCTCTTTCGGAAAGGGAAAAAAACCCGTGTTCGCGGTTCGGTTTTTTCGTCGGTTTTTTTCGCCCGGTTTTTTTTGTGAAAAAAAAGTTCGTCAAAACCTATCAACATGGGATCTAGTTTTGAAGATCTCGACGCGAGGAATCCAACGGCGAAAGCGGTTCGAGATTTGAACGCACGGTTTAAGAGATAAAACGTTTTAAATAAACGAATCTACGAAAAAAGGAAAAACTGCAGCGCGCCACTTGTCGCAACCTGGGAAAGTTGGAGTGATCTCCGCAAAGAGTACTCCTTAACTAGTGATTTCGTTGTTTTCCTCTGCTCTTACGTGTAAGCTCAACATGAAAAGCAAAGCCCAATCACAGCCCAAACATTCTTTTCGGCTGCAAAACAAATGCCGAGCCTGGCCCAGCCTATATGTTCGGGCCGGGTCGTTTGCGCCGGGCTGCACATGATCACGTTTAGAGGAGTACTACTGGTCAGCTTTGTACAAATGTAGACAATCTAAACCCTTCATTTTCCGAAAAAATATATACGTGGAGGTATTGGCAGTGCATGTGCATGCAGCGGGGCCTCCTGTTGGAGGTAAAAGAGTAGTAAATGGCAACAAATTGCGTCAACGAGAACCTCTAGATGGAAGTGCGTGAATTAAGTACCCCATTTTCATTAAAACTGAAAAGGGGAAACCAATCGATCCAGCTTCACGCGTACACCTCCATATAGACGGGCGCAGTAGAACCTTTCCTCTCTCCCATTTTGCCAATCCATCCATCCCTCCATCCCACCGCCGGAATGGCAGAGCACTGCAATATTTCTGCCGCCATTGTAGCCGAGTCCGAGGAAAGATCATATGCCTTCAAGATAGAGGGATACTCAAGAACCAAGCGGCTGATCAAGTACTACGAGAGCGTGACATCTCCCCGTTTCTGCGTCGGAGGTCACGACTGGATTCTGAGGTACTACCTGAACAATTTGGATCTAGTATCCATCTACCTGATTCTCGATTCTGCTGATGCAAAAGACGTGAAGGCGAAGGCCGGGTTCTGTTTACTCGACAAGGACGGGGTACCGGTGCCGTCGTGCAGTAGCACCTTCCAAGAAAATGTCTTTCGAAGCAAAGGATCATCCGGGTGCGGCGTTGGCTATTCCATCAAGCAGGAGGACCTGGAGAGATCCCCGTACCTGATAGACGACTGCTTCACCATCCGGTGCGACGTCACGGTCATGAGGGAGTTCAAGGGCCAAGAAAATGGCCGGTTCGTCCAGGTCCCTCCGAGCGACTTGCACCGGCATCTCGGCGACCTCCTGCAGAGCGCGGATGGAACGGACGTGACCTTTCAAGTCGACGGCAAGACCTTCTCAGCCCATCAGTCTGTGCTCGCTGCTCGGTCGCCTGTGTTTAAGGCACAGCTCTTCGGCCCCATGAAGGATAGTTCTGATGATCTGATTATGGTTGATGACATGGAAGCCGACGTGTTCGGATCCTTGCTCCATTTCATATACACCGACTCGCTCCCGCAGATGAGTCGTGAGGGAGACAATGAAGGTGTGGCAGCCAGTCATCTCCTGGTAGCGGCGGATAGGTACGACGTTCAAAGGCTTAAGCTAATCTGTGAGGAGAAACTGTGCAGCCACATTGACACGGACACGGTGGCGACCAGTTTGGTTTTGGCTGAGCAACATAGCTGCCATGGGCTCAAGGAAGCATGTCTACAGTTCCTCGTTTCTCCGTCCAGTTTGGAGGGGATGAAAGTAAGCGATGCCTACGTGCATCTCAAAAGCAGTTGCCCATCTGTTCTCAAGGAGCTGATTGCTAGACTCCTGCCTGCTGAATTGAAAGCGGCCAAGGATATTGTCATGGCAATTTAGTGCTCGTACTAGAAGGATTAGAGCGCTTTGCATCCATTGATGACATGGTCCACACAGTCTATGCTACACGGGGCTATCCATATATATATTTATATTTATCTTTGACAGGTCATGACTTGTCACCTTTATCTATCGATAACCATTGTAGTCTATGCTACACTGGTTATCTATATATGCTTTCTATTTATTTTTGAGAGGTTCAATGTTGCAACCCTAACATGAAAAATACTATCAATATCATAGACAATAATAATTTCTTTATATATTTAAGAAACAGTTCTTTTACAAGTTACAACGTAGAGTTCACTTCACTCAAAAGAGAAGTGGTAAAGCATATTTGAATCACTCGAGAGATTTCTTATTGTTGCCATGTGGCTGCTGAATTGCTGATGGCTCGGCCGTCTTCTCTGCGTTCTGAATGTGCAGCAGGATACTGTCCAATCCAGGAGGCCAGAAGACACACTGTCGATGAGCGGGTGAAGTAAAAAAAATCCCCTTGTGCACAGAGAATAACCTGATACCACACATACAACCCACAGACTCTGCAGTGTTGAACTCATCAGATGAATATTCCATTAGCATCTCGCAACAAAGTGACAATATTGCTAAATACCCCCATATACTGTTAGTCTAGCATATGACAACAGCTTGTAGGTTTTGCAACAGTACATATGACAACATTACTGTTCTACAGTATACTGTACATGTTGGCGGTAAAAATATTAATAACACAGAATAAGATAGTCAGTAAAATCTGATGGTAAGTTTCACGCCTTGATTGTCCATTTATTCTATGCAGGAGAAGAGAAGACATTGTGAGTGAGGCTGTAGAGAAACTTGCGCAGAGAGAATGATAACTGAAAACACACGCATGGCATAGCGATAACACGTTGCAGTTTCGAGCTCATCAGATGAATATTCAGTTGGTGCCTGCCAATCAGTGACAGCATTATCAAATATCCTCATATACTCTTGAAGTCTTGCTTCTGAGTTCTCACTGTAAACCTGGAGTTTCTACTTTATTTTTTGCATGAGAACCTGCAAATTATTTCAGGGAACATTTAATCATATGAATTACTGAGGATCCATTGCCCAGTTAGGCCCCAGAGATGCAAAGAAAGGAGTAAAAAATAGGTCCTACTTTAGCAAATTATTTTGACATGAATAGTAGAACCCAGCATAATAATGCCAGGAATTTATTTCAACAATGCGCTTTGGCACATGTGCTAGATGCAATCGAGCTCTTTTAATTTGATTCTCTCACCAAATAAATGCAAAGAAAATATAGTTCTCATAGCTGCAAGTATTTTTGCTGATCATAACAATAAGATCAAAAGTTAAAAAAAAACAATAAGATCACAGATTACAGAGATAGAAACTGCAATGGAGGATGAGTGAGTCTTTCCAGGGATGAAACCACTATATCAGTCATCATGACACTTTGTCGGTGTGGCTGAGCTGGCCTTTGTGTTGCTTATTTTCATGGGTCACGTAAAGACTAGGTGAGCAGGGAATTCTCAAGAAAAAAGAAAAGTAGGTGAGCCGGGAGCAGACGCTCCATGCCTCCTCGGAGTCTTCCGATTCCCTTCCCATTGTGGGGAATAGTCGGGTGAATGCGTGAAGCGTCTTACATGGGTGTGAAGCAGGCCAGTAAGACTCTGAATTTTTTGTTTAGAAAAACATTATTTTATTCAAAAGGTTTTTAAAATATTGTAGAAAAATAAGTTTTAAAAAGGAAAAGTTATATTGCAGCAAATGAGAAAACGTTCATGTACGCACATAAAAATATTCATATATAAAATAACCTGACCTTTTACATGGCCGTACTATGCCTATTTATACTAGTATACTACTAGTATAGCTGACCCAACTAACAAGGATTAACGCACACGAGCTTTGCCAAGAATTCTGGACTCTTATTTGGTTTAAACTAAATTGCCTTTTACATCTCGGCATGCACCAAAAAGACCTACTAAAATTAAAGTTTTTATCTCCTACTTGAACGCTAGTTAATTTGGTTTTGCTAGCTGGTGGCCCCCATCCTGATTCCTGGGTCCAATGCTTGATTGGTCCGGTGGCCGTAGTCTCCCAAAGAAATAACCAACGTGATGTATTCCTTTTAAATCTGAAACAAACTCATGCACATGTACATGGTACAAAACATGGTAGCATCTAATTGATTTTTGGCTGGACCCACTGGCATGCATGCCACGTGTTTGATTGCCCGATGCATGCAAATATGAAAGCACTCCTTGGTACTTCGGCCAAGACTTAAGCAAAACCCTTGCAACATATACACCGTCGACATGAACTGTCACAGCGGCCATATCATCCTCGTCTTCTTCAACTACAACAGCGTCAGCCGCCGTATAAGCAGAAGGCATTGTTGTTTTACATATGGTCATATCAAATTGTTGTCAAATAGTTTACTAATGATTCAGGACAAGGCATAGAGTAGCTTAGAAATGAAGTAAATTTAATTGCCAGTTTGTAGTGTTTGCTTCTCATATATAAATACTTACCTAACAAGAGTCTGGTCGCCTTCCTTTTTGGTATGTTTTGATCACTTGGACCTTTTAGACTGGCAAATGATATTGTTTACAAGTAACTTATGCTTACTGGCATTTGAACATGCTACAAGAAAATCATTGCTTGATTGGGCAACTAGATTCAATATAGTAAACGGGATAGTGAGAGGACTTCTGTTTCTCCACCAAGATTCAAGTGTAAAGATAGCTCATATAGATCTCAAAGCAGACAACATCTTGTTGGATGCAGAAATGAATCCCAAGATAGCATATTTCAGCATGTAAGAATCTTTGGGGGGAAACCATCAACAATAGAACACAAATTGTGTTGTTGTGACATTGTAAGTGGATTCTTATGCAACCCTTACAATATGCATTTCTTGCCATGGTTTAATTCAATC